TGTTTCGGTATGTGTTTTTCGTAAACGCCACAAAGACTTAGAACCATTTTTCAATATGGAGAATAACTTGGTTTTCTGCAGTAACATTAACGGCTTACTGGCGGCTTTAAATATAAACTATAACCCAGAAGAATGGAGATTGTTTATAGACAGTTCAACATTGAGTTTAAAGGCAGTGTTATTGCATATTGGAAATATTTTACCATCTCTTCCTGTGGGGTATGCAGTTCACATGAAAGAATCATATGACAATATGAAGTACCTATTGACATGCATAAAATACGATGAGCACCAATGGCATATTTGTGGCGATTTGAAAGTTGTTGCACTTTTACTTGGGCTGCAGCTAGGCTACACAAAGTTTTGCTGTTTTTTGTGTGAATCGGACAGTCGGGCAACGGCACTTCATTACACCAGACAAAACTGGCCTGTTCATCAATTCCTAGAGCCAGGTCAAAAAAATGTACAGCATATGCCATTAGTAGATTCGAAAAAATTTTCTTACCACCACTGCATATCAAGTTGGGCCTAATGAAAAACTTTGTCAAGGCATTAGATAGAGATGGGTTAGCTTTTCAGTACCTGCGTCAGAAATTTCCAAGACTAAGTGAGGCAAAGGTTAAAGAAGGTATTTTTGTTGGGCCACAGATTCGAAATATTTTGAAAGATACACAGTTTGAAAACACTTTAACAGGTATTGAAAAAACTGCTTGGAATGATTTCCGTCTGGTGGTCACTCATTTCTTGGGAAATAGAAAAGCTGACAACTATAAAACCCTTGGCAAAAATATGCTGTCATCGTATCAAAGGATGGGCTGTAATATGTCTCTTAAGATACATTTCCTACACTCACACCTGGACTTTTTTCCTGAACATTGCGGAGCCGTAAGTGATGAGCACGGCGAACGTTTTCATCAGGATATTTCAACAATGGAAAAAAGGTACCAGGGAAAGTGGAATCCTTCCATGCTTGCAGACTACTGTTGGACTCTTGGTAGAGATGCTCCAGAAACGATCCATAAAAGAACAGCAAAAAGACAGCGCATATAGTGATTCTTATAAGTATATGAATCTTGTTACTTTTTTTAATATATCCTTAAAAATAAAAAGTTTTTTTTTCTAAACCGCAACTAATTTTTTTATTTCATTGTCATTTTTGGATTCAGCGCCCCAAAATTAACAAAGAAGTGCACTTTTCCCACAAGATACAATTAAAAAACTAAAATTTGTTGTCCAGTGAATTTTTAATTTAGGAGCAATACTCCGTTCTCTCAGCGACTTATTGCTTATAACTCGATAATCACACTGCACACTTGTCAGTAAAAGGTATAGCAAAATGAAATGCCCATTATAGGGACATGCCCTATCGCTCTCAAGAAGAATGTTAAGTGCTAGTGTCACTGTTCGGTTGCAAATCTGTACACCGTAGTATACGTTTGGGACAGCAGCTGGCTGGAGAAACATAACACTCCAAGTTATTAAAGTAAACCGGGTTTGATATCGAGAATATCAAATAACAAAGTTTCGCTGCGGTAACTTCCTAACAAGTTCCACCTTGCGCGAATGTAATACATGTGACAGATTCCGAGTAGTTGAATAACTTACCATAACATGATACGTACCATGGAGATACTGAAATCGAATATACTTGGCTCCAAGGCATGCACGGATTTTAGGTATTAAAAATTAGCATTTCGACGGAAAGAAATATTGCTTTCAACTATTAAAGTATATTTTTTCACCACATTGTTTTTCCTCCACCAATTTACTTATTTCCAAAGTGTTAACACAGGCATGGAACATATACTAAGTGACATATAAATCCGAACAGCCAGTTTAAATGGTTTTATTTTAATAAACGTTGGTGAATGTATTTATCTTACTGTAAATAACAAGTGAAAAAATTTTCAGCCTTATCAGTTGGACATTCCGGTTTTTATACTGCTTTTTTTTAATTCACTAATGCTCTAAAAATGAATATTTCAGCCGCAGTAAAGAATCAACGTTGGCGGATTTTGGTTCTTGACATCCTTTACGATCGGTTACGATGCCTAGAGTACGAAGACCTGTACGATTTCGTCAACTTAGGGAGTTTGATAGGGGCCGTATAGTGAAACTTTGGGAAGATGGACTTTCTTTTCGGGCAATTGCAGTTAGAGTGCAAAGAAGTGTAGACACTGTGGTTAGGTGTTGTCAGGCATGGCTTCGAGAAGGCCGTAGAGCAACAGACCATGAAGATCGCCGCCTAAGAATATTGCAAATGAATGGTTTGCAGAACACGGAAGACCTATTGGCATGCGAAGTGTTTACCGACGAATGAGAAGTTTTGGCTTGTTTTCATACCGGCCACACTGGGTCCTCCCTTTAACTCGAGAACACCGACGTAATCGCCTTGAGTGGTGCAGACAACGGTCACTCTGGGATCAGGAATGGAACAGTATTGTCTTTAGTGACGAGTCTCGATTTTGTTTAGGCATGCACGATGGTCGTGCCAGGGTTAGAAGGCGACGTGGTGAAAGGAGGAATCCACAGTTTTTTGTTGAAAGACATGTTCATCACACTGTTGGAGTTATGGTTTGGGGTGCTAGAGCTTATGGTTCCAGGTCACCTTTAATCTTCATCAGAGGTAATATGAACGCGCAGCGTTATATCCACGAAGTTCTAGAACCCCATCTTTTACCCTATCTTGACACCCTGGCAGATCCAACTTTCCAACAAGATAATGCCCGACCGCATGTTGCAAGAGTCACAATAGACTTCTTTCAACAATAATGATGTCACATTGTTACCATGGCCACCAAGATCTCTCGACTTATCCCCAATTGAGCACGTGTGGGATATGATGGTTAGGAGATTGCTCAATTTGCAACGTCCTCCTCAGACTCTAGAAGCACTTCGAGAGGAGTTGGTGGTTGCCTGGAATGAGATACCACAGGAGGACATTGACTACCTGATCAGAAGCATGCCTAGGCGCGTTGGAGAATGCGTAGCACATCAGGGCGCATCCACACATTATTAAAGGTCAAAGGGCTTTAAAGCAGTGCAATCATTTTGAAATTTATATCATTTACTTATTATGCTTCATTAAGTACTTATACAAAATTTTATTGAAATAATACCATTTAAACTGGGTGTTCGGATTCATATGTCACTTAGTATACAAAGGTTAGGTTTTTTTTTCCTAAACAAATTCAAACATTTCGTATTTTTTGGAGTAATTGAACAAATGGGCTACAATATTCTAAAAACATACGTTACTAACACATTTTAAAACAAAGCGGATGTGTCCATCATCGTTTGTTGCGAATTACTCACAAATACGAAATGGTTGAATTTGTTTAGAAGAAAAAATGTTACCCATCCTTTTTTTGTATAAAAATAACACTTATTTTCCGGAATGGTTTGCAATTCATATCAGTAAGGTAAACTAGTGTATTTTGCTATAAAATGCTCTTTACACTAATCCTGAATATTGCTTCATAAACTAGTAGTGATGGCAGGAAAACAGGTGCTTTGCAATAAACGATTAGAAATTTTCAAAAACTACTTGACCAATCTACTCCCATTTTCTTGTGGTTATTAAGAAGTACGAATTTGACGAATTTCAAATACATATCTGCGAGAAACCGCAGTCGCATTACCAGCAAGTGCCAAAACCTGCGGTTTGCCTCGATTTCCGGCCATAACTTTTTTGCTATTAGTCGGATCTTTTTAAGTGTGGTCTCATTTTGTAGGTCTCATAAATACCTAAAAATCTTATATGAAGAGTTTTTTGTTCCTGCCAACACTTTCGATTGAATCCCAAAAAACACGTTTTCTCATTCTTGGTTGTCGAATAAAAAGTTTTCCCATAAAAATTGGTGTACCAGCAATAAAACTAAACTTTACAATTATTTCGCAAACCAGAGGTATTTTCGTCTAATATGATTAGGCTAGATTGTCATTCTTTCCTAGCTTATTTTATATGTATTAGTTGAAAGATTGTTTAGAAACTTTTATTTTTGATAATGCTTGTATTTTATTCTTGTATCTGTTTTTTTTTTAATTATATTAGATACGTTACTTTGGTGTTTTTTTTTGTCAAGTGGAAGACTTATTCTTCTAAGGGTCGTTCTGTTTTTAGACGCCTTCATAGCCTCCTTGATTTTCATACTTTTCTACTGTTCCGTGTCAGCGCTCTATTTTGAGGTTATGTTACAAATATCTATTTGCATCAAGTTCTTCATGCTTTTGATTTTTATCTTCTCTGTTTTATTAGCCTGAAAGTTCTTAGGAAAGAAAACATAACCTCACAATAGGCGAGCGCTGACGCTCACGTGGAACAGTAGAAATCTAGAAATACTCCAGCCTTTCTGAAGAAGAGAAACGACTATGAAAATCAAGGAGGCCATAAAAGCGCCCTACAATTTTGGGAACGACTGACGATACGGCCCTAAGAATACAATCTGAGCTTCGCTATTCACGGGGAACCATTTTTTTTCAACGAATAAAAATGATTTTAGTATTACTTAAATAATAGTATTAGAGCATTTAGGAATGCGCATATGAAAATCAAGCGTTTAGTGAACAAGAGGAGGGAACATTTTGAAGGTCTTGTTTTCTTGTTTGCGTTTATGCCGGTTTGGTTTACATCATTACTTGATAGCTTACAATAGAAACAATCAGGAAATGAAGATAATTTCATTTTTTGTTCATTTGTATTTGTAAATCAAATTCACAACACAGAAACTTATTGCCAAAATTAGCGTTATGTTTATGAATGCAAAGAACTAGGCAAATCGTTCCAGTCGGAATTAGTTCTTCTTAGAATCAAGTCGCTTTATCTTATCATTTCCTATATGAAATTTTCGAAGAACCTTTCTTCTTGCGTCACAACTGCTACACACCTGCGGTACTTACAAGCGTTGTTGAGATTTGTTCACCGAAACCTAAAAACTCTAATCTTTGATAGCTGATCATTTGTTGAATAATCAATATTATAACGTAAATTTTTGTTGCAGGATTACTACCCAGATTTGATAGCCAACGACTCTATAGCCTTCCTGCGGCACTCTAAAAAGCAGTACCAACACAAGCCGGTTATGCTGACCATGTCATTCCCAGCACCTCATGGTCCTGAAGATTCAGCACCGCAGTACTCGCATTTATTCTTCAACGTCACTACTCATCAGTAAGTACAATTTATTCTCCGTCAGCAGTGAACAATTATTAAAATGTTAATTTTATGAACTTTTCGATCCTTTTTGGATGCACTCTTTTGGAGTACACGCTTTTTTGAAAATTGATAATTTATTTAGAAAGTTTTGAAACAAATTCTATGTACAGTAACTTTTTGTAAATTACATGTATCGCCTATTTGCGGTTTCAAGTGTAGAGCGAAAAACCTTGTGTGTTGCAAATTCCTCATTGGGATATCAAAATCGGTAAGAGATACGAAGTTGTTTAAATGTGGGCAAAAATGCGCATTTAGGTAGCTAAGCAAATAACAGAAAGTTTAATGATATAGATAGAAAAAACAAACTTTCTCAAAATCGTTTTTATTTTTTAAACGACTTTATTCAAAGTGGTATTCTGAAATAAAATACTTATTAACAATGCTACTTCTTCTCCTCTACAAGGTGGCATAGTAAGAATTTCAATGTGATGTTTTGTCTCTTGCCCTGAATTATGAACCTTATTTTTTCAAAAGGAGCAACACTCCAAGAAAAATGGGCGGATGTGCAGTAGATGATAATGGCAAACTACCTACTGATTTAAAGACCCGTCAAAAAAATCGCAGAGCTAGGGCCGGAAATCCTTATGCACCCCCTGTATTCTTCAGATCTAGCACCCTCCGACTGTCACCTATTTATGTCGTTACAAGATTTTCTGTAGGGTAAGCGAAGACGATATCCAACAAGCCCTGGATCAATTTTTTTCACCTTCAGATAAAACGTCTTATAAAAATTGAGATATACAGATCACCACCACGTCATAAACGTAGTTACATGACTCGACAAAGTTTACCCAAGTTAAGAAAAAAAATATTTTGTAATACCCTAAAAACGGTCTGTACACTATAATCTCACGCGAAAAAAGCACCGATTATCTCTGTCGAACTGTGCGCTGGTAAAAGGGTTAGAGCAGAGATATGTCGTGTCCGGATTGTATGTTGTATCCCTTCATAAAGAATTCATGGAGGTTGGTAATGTCCTCGACCTGAGGCTACCTGATACAGATATAAATTATGCAACAACCAACCGGGCCAAAACTACACACACGATTTCTCGGAAGGAAATACGATGGACCACCGTTTCGCGACATCGTGAGTCTTTTGTTTATACAGAGCATTTTCACGAACTTCATGCTGACTCAACTTTTAATTGTGCAGAGAAGAAGGATCCCACTGAACGATGCAGGAGTTCCCTAACACAGTCTGAAATCTCTGTGGCATCATTGGACAATCGATGATCTGACTCTTTTTTCACTGGTATACCAGTAGACCAGGGAGTTTTTTCGCATCTGATTTGTTTTTTGCTTAATCTTATCCTGTTTAAGAAATTTGCGTGGTATTTACAGTGGTATTTGCAGATACTATTAATAAATGATTTACTCTTGAAAACTTTACCACCCTGCACCTCAAAAGTTCAGGTGTTTAGAATAGAATGAGAATCAGAATCTTCTTTAGTTCGGAAGACCGTCAGTTGATGGTATAGAACATGTCAGAAAATATAAAACTACAGTAAGTGTCGATTTCACCAAGGTTGTCAAATCAACAGTCCGTTATTCTCCACCTATAGGGTTACAGTGCGTCAAATACAACGAATGAGCTTCAAGTTCCAATCAACAAATTTTAGCAACCAATAGCTAGGAAATGTTGAAAACAAAATACTGTCAAAGTATGAGATGACAGACTGTCATTGAAACATCACCAGCTTATTGAATATTAAGAAATTACATATAATTCAGTCAACATTTAAAGAAATGTTTGATTTTTGAATTAAATTCATGTTTTAATTACTATTGTTGATCTTTTATTCATGTTTATATTATTTTCTTCAATTGATATGCGATACTGGGTGTTTTTTCCTATAAACCTCTTGCATATAGCCATTAAGCACCTACTTGATGACAGGCTCTACCAAAAGGTATTGCTCCTTTCCAAACATTCATTCATTTACTTGCCGTTCATCAGAACCATTACGGCACCTTAGATTGATATTACCACAAAACCATTCAGGTTTTTTGGTATCCATACATCCATAAAGTTGAATATTTTTCATTTTTTAGGAACTGAACAATCATCCACACTATATTCACAGCGATTAAGAAATTCCCAAATATACCTGTATGCCTTAAAGCTACCAACAAACCTAAAACCTACAAAAAAACTACAAGTTTGCCATATTTTTCTTTTTACACATTCTAGGTTATATTTATATTAGACATTATTTGAATATACATAGCTGATTATTGCATTTCAAGACTCCCCGAGTGACACGTGTGGGATCTGTCAACCCTTGGTCCCAGTCACAAAACATATACTCTGAAGAAGGTTTAATTCCATGCTATTCAATGACAACACGATGACTTGTGTTATAAAGGATAGTAGAGTATATTTCAACAGTTGGCGGAGCTTACTTGACTGGGACCAAGGGTTGACGGATCCCACACATGTGTCACTCGTTGGGGAGATTTGAAATGTAATAATCAGCTGTTATTGAAATAATGTCTAATATAAATATAACCTAGAATATGTTCTCAGTGAAACAAGAACGATATTGCAAATTATATTTTTTCTTTGCAGGTTTTAAGTTTTCCGGTAGCTTTACGACATATACATATTTGCGTATTTCTTAATCGCTGTAAATATAGTGTGGAGTTTTGTTCAGTTCCTGAGACGGTGCTATAATGGTACCGATGTATGGCAAGTAAATGAATGAATGTTTGGAAACGAGCAATATCTATGAAAATATTGGTAGAGCCTGTCATCAAGTAGGTGCTTAATGGCTATCTGCAAGAGGTTTATAGGAAGAACACACGGTAGGTGATGTTGAATCAGTAAAATCGCATATCCATAATTGAAGAAAATAATATAAACATGAATGAACAATCGGCAATATTAAATAAAAACACTTTTTTAAATTTTGACTAAATTATATGTAATGTCTTAATATTCAATAAGCTGGTGATGTTTCAATGACAAGCTGTCAGCTCATACTTTGACAGTATTTTATTTTAAACATTTTATAGCTATTGGTTGCTAAAATTTTTTGATTGAAGCTCATTCGCTGTATTTGACGTACTGTTACCCTATAGGTGGAGAATAACGGACTGTTGATTTGACAATCCACTTGACGAAAAAATTAACGAAATTGATGCAACGGTTAAAAAGTTATGTCCGGTTAATTTTGCGTGGCAAAAAATCGTCGGATTCTAAGATATCCGCCAGAACGTTAAATCCAATGAGGACGCAATTGACTCGTCAAAGTTCGGATCGATGTCCAAGTGAAGTCCAACCGCTCGTAAAACGTTATTTGATTTACAGCCGAATCGCGAAGAACGTGGATGTCTGTCCAGTCTCTCGAGAGCTCCGGACAAGACGTTTCGGCCGTAATGGCGCGGAAAAAAGACCGACGTATGTCTTAGGGATTTAGTTTGACGGCCCCTTGGTCCGCTACAGCTATTATTTCGTTCGTTTAGAAGCATCGTTGCGACCGAAATAGCGGAAGAAATTTGACAAGTGAACCGATCAAGTGGTTTCGAACGAAGTTGTCTAATAGGTGAATCAATCCCAGACGGTGGCGTATAGTACAGGGTCCGTCAGAAAGGACGCATGTTTTTCGGATGGGTACTACATCGAGTGGGCTGGTCCCGTGTCGGTGGGAAAGGGCGTGTTCAGCGTTGCCAGACGTACGATGATTATCGTTTCTGTACGATAATTTTAAGTACTGTGCGATGTACGATAGTATGTGTAGGATAATAGCTGAATGTACGATAATTTTGCGAATCAGTTTTTTTACTCACAGATGTTAAATCAATCTAACAACTACCTTCAATTAACATCAGCAAGCATATGTCAGTGTTGCCGCTTGATAAACAAGCGCGTGTACCTCACTCTGTATAATGGGTTGCCTAGCATTATATGCGGACTATCTCGGCAAACATCAACAGGGAAAATTGCCGTCAATCAGTTCTCACGTTCTATGTATTGACATGACCCAACTAGCAAAGTAGTGCTATAAGCTTTTGGTAAAAGAACCGTTCAGTCATAAAAGATCTCTATTGTTGTTGCCTGAACACCAAAATGCTGGCTTAATGTTGTGTAGAATGCAAATTTGCTTTCTGCAACATATTTGCTCTAAAATGAGGAGTTTAAAATATTCTTATAACATAGTTACACAACACCTTATAGGACAAATTTTTAACTGTTGCATAAACGTTTATACAACTATTTTATACGGCATATTTGCAGGTTAGTCAAAATGGTTGTGTTGTGGCATCCATGGTAACGTTTATAAAGCAAACCCGAGCCTTGTTGTTTTGCTGTGCAAATTTATTACTTTAGCCAACAAATTGCTCCCAACGGAAGCACTTATACAACTGTTGTTTAGTAACTGTTAAAGGCTGTACATATGCTAAATATGTTGGTATACAACTTCACCATAACCTAACTTTCTGCTGTCATATTTTTGTTAAAATGCCATAACCAATGTTTTAAAACAACGCATGCATATTGGTTAAAAAGATTTTATCAACTGTTCAAACAGAAGATATAGATCTGGTAAAAATTCTAGGTAAATCATTCGACTCTGTCTGTATTTCATTTTTGACATTTGTCAAATTGTTGTATAACACCTGCAGGCAACACCAAAATATTCTAATAAACTAAAGACAACCTGGACGATGCCATGATATTACACAATCACCCGCCATATTGGCCAAACATTTATTCCTCTATTTGATATTAAATAATTATGTTTCAGTTCGAAATTACAGATATAAAGTGATAAACATTAGTGTAATTGTGTCTAAATATAGGATTTGTGAAAGATTTAACGCAGATAACTTCAGTTTTCCATCTTAAAAATCTAGACATACTTTTGATCATTATCAAAATATGAATCAAATACGAAGCCCGTAGAAATTGCGTAACTACTTTGCACGATAATCACAATAAAATTTGCTGCG